TCTTGGCTGTCCTAGAATTCACTATGTAGACAAGGCTGGCCTGGAGCTCACTGAGACAGGCCGACCTTTCCTTCCCAAGTGCTGGGATCGAAGATGTTCACCGCCACAACTGCCCAGCAAACCTTGGGACACCATCCAGCTTTCTTATGTTATTTATTTATGCTTGAGACCAACTCCTTCACTGGCCTGGAACTCACCGAGGTGGCTCAGGCTAGCTGGCAAGGAAGACTCGGGAATCCACTTTTCTCTACCCACTGAACTCTGGAGTTATAGATGTGTGCTACCACTTCTTTTTAAAACAATGTGTCTGTACTTGTGTGTATGTGTGTGCGTGTGTGCGTGCGTGTGCGTGTGTGCGCGCGTGCGTGTGTGTGCATGCGCGTGTGTGCGCGTGCGTGTGTGTGTGTGCATGCGCGTGTGTGCGCGTGCGTGCGTGCGTGTGTGCGTGCGTGTGCGCGTGTGCGTGCATGTGTGTGCGTGTGTGTGCATGTGTGTGCGTGTGTGTGTGCGTGTGCGTGTGCGTGCGTGCGTGCGCGCGCGCGCGCGTGCGTGTGTGTGTTCTGGGGCTCGAACTCACGTCCCACAAGCACTTTCCTGACTGAGCTGTCTCTCCAGTCTATCCAGAATGGCTTCAAGGAGCGTTTAGTTTTTCCCTCTTCTCCTCACTGCTCTTCCTTGTGAGGCGGCAGTGTGGCGGAAAGAGCCGTGGGCTCCGGGTCGGACTCATAGCGGTTCATTTTTTGTCTCTGATTCTTTTTAAATCTCTGGCACCTGGAGATGTTTAACTTTAGGCAACTTTTAGTCTTGGGGTGTCTTGATTAAAGTGAGCACTTCACCCATTTCACGGAACTACCCTGGGTGTGCAACGTGGCCTGTTAGAAACTCTCAGGACACAGCATGTGGCCTTTATTCTCCACCCACCTTGGCTTCTGTGGTGAGACCCGTTCCTGGCTCTGCTGGGAGCCTCCTCTGAGAACTGTTCTCTGCCAATCCTCACCCCTTCCGACCACTCAGGTTTCCCTCTTGTGCGGCATCCTATCATTTAGCACAGCGTCCTCATTGGCTACTTCCTTCCTTCCTTGCCAGCTAGACTACAACCCTCCGGAGGTGAGGAAGGGGTTTCACCCTGAGGGAAGTGACAGTGATTAGTGGTCTTTTGGAAGCCACATTGCAGCTCCATCAGTATCAGCTGCAGGGTCTCGGGAAAGTTACTGACTGCCTTGAGCTTTGTTTCCTCCTCTGAAGAATGGGCAGTGTTGGCATGGCATAATGGGGTGGGGGTTACATAGTTCTGGGGAAGTTCTTGAGGCAATGCCCGGCACATGGTCAGGGTACCCTAAATGGTGTTGCAGGATTATCCCTGTGGACCCCCAAGGGAGTTAGTTTGGGGACTGAATAGGTAACATGGGTGGTTGTTACCTGGATGGGTAAACGTGCCTCAGGTAATGTTATTTCAGATGACTTTGAAATGTAACCCCAGAAGTTTTTTATATATATAAAAGCATGCTTCTTACAGAAGAAGTTCAGCAATTTAGAACCACAGAAATCGGACGAGAAAGTCCTGACCAGACTTTCTCCAGCACCTCCCCTCCGCATGTTAGGTGTGTAGAACTTATTGATAAATTTTTTTAAAGATTAAAAACATTTTTCGGCATGTGCTCACTCTTGCTTGTGCACACTCACAGAGGCTATAAGTGGTTGTGAGCTGCCAGTCGTGGGTACTGGGAACCAAACCTGTGTCCCCTGCAACACCGCAATTGATTTCTGAGCTGTCTCTCAAGCCTGCATGGTTGACCTTTTGTGGTTCAAGATGTAACCTCAGATTGAGTGGACAGGAAAAAAAGTCAGAGATTAATTAAGCAATTAGAATTAATTAGAAACTTGCTACTAAAACCTTGTTTAAAAGTAATGATTTTTGTGATTGAACCGTATCTCCCATTTGTTCCTCAAGACGTGTGTGTGTGTGTGTGTGTGTGTGTGTGTGTGTGTGTGTGTGTGTAGAGTAGATGTTGTCCTTGGTGGGTGGGGCTAATGGGAAGAGTAAGTGCCTTGATCAAAATTCTGCCCCCGGGCGGTGGTGGCGCACACCTTTGATCCCAGCACTCGGGAGGCAGAGGCAGGCGGATCTCTGTGAGTTCGAGGCCAGCCTGGTCTACAAAGCGAGTTCCAGGACAGGCTCCAAAGCTACACAGAGAAACCCTGTCTCGAAAAACAAAACAAAACAAAAATTCTGCCCCCTACTGTCACGTGCCCAATATTTTCTGAGCCACATTTTTTTTTTTTAATTTATTCTTCTCTTACATATGCATCCATTTCTTTAAGTTGAGGTTTTGCCAAGGAGCCCCTGTAGAGTGGCAGGTTGGCACGCTTCCTGGCCGGTGACTCCAGGGGCAGGAAGGTGCAGAGGAACAGGCTGTGTGAGCGGCCAGTTGTGGGTGTGCACATAGCAGTGTGACATTTGGTCCATCCTGTTTGGGGAGCTGGACCCCAGCTCCAGACTTAGAAACTTTCGTCTTTGCTTCCTACTCTTGGAATTTCTCCTGCCCTGGTTCTCCAAAGGAAGTCTCCTAGACTGCACTTAGATTTGGGGAAAACAGCAGCAAGAGTGTTTTGGGTGATCTGGGGACAATAAGTCATCCTTTTATAATGAGTTTTTATTTTCTGAGGCAGTATGTATAGACCAGAGGCATTTTACTCTGGTAGATTTTTATCTTATTTTAAAATAAATAGAGAGGGACACATGAATTTTTTAAATCAAATTATTGATCTAAAACAAAGCCCATGGTAGCAAAAATGTTTCTTTTTTCTGATAATGCTTTATTATCAGCATTTTCTTAATATCCTAAAAACCAGTTACATCTCTCTCGATTTTTATGTAATAGAAAGTTATTGTTTGGAACATTACAGCAGCTGTTTTAGATGTAAAGATTTGTTTTGGATCTGAACTTCTATCTTCTGGGAAATGTGATTATATATTCATAGAAGTGACTGATTTTTGGTCAGATTTTCAAACCATCGATATCCTCAGGCTTGAGGAGTCCACAGTGTAATGGCACACAGGATGATGGATTTCCCACCGACTACTCAGGGATTCCCCATTTGGTTGATCATAGTAAAGCTTGAAACTCGACTACTGGAAATCTGGGTGGGCAATGCTGGTGGGACCCCCACTTTCCTCTGAGATTCGTGTTTCATGTGGGAACTGGAATCTATTAAACACTTCCTAGGAAACTTGCCCATCCTTTTAAGTTGGTGGTTCTCAACTTTCCTAAAGCTCCAACCCTTTACTACAGTTCCTCATGCTGTGGTGAATCCCAGCCATGAAATTATTTTTGTTGCTACTTCATAACTGTAATTTTGCTGCTGTTGTGAATTGTAATGTAAATATCTGTGTTTTCTGATGGTCTTAGACAACCTTATAAAAGGGGTCATGACCCACAGGTTGGGAACCACTGTTTTAAATGATTATAGGACTTTTTTCTTGTTTTTTTAAATTGTGATAGTAGTGGGCATTTAAATTTTATTTCACTGTTGTTATTATTTTTTTGAGATATCCTTTTACTGTGTGGCCCATGCTGGCTTTGAACTTGTGATCCTTCTGCCCCAGATTCCAGAGTGCTGGGATTAGACATGTGTATCACCACACCCAGCTCTGGCTTCTGTTCAGATAATAATATGATAACAATTCATATATTATTTTGTATTTAATAGAAAAGAGCAACACATAAAATGTACTGCATTTTCTTTTTCTTTCTTTCTTTCTTTTTTTTTTTTTGTGAAACAAGGTTTCTTGGCTGGCCTGGAACTCACTATGTAGACCAGGCTGGCCTCCAATTCATTAGCAATCTACCTGTCTCTGTCTCCCAAGTGTTGGGATCAAAGGCCTGAGCCACCACGCCTGGTGAATTACCCATTTTCAAGCGTACACTGGTGTTAAATGCATTTCAATGTTGAGCGACTATGGCCCCACCCCAACTCTTTGCAGACTGCAACACCAACATTCTGTACCCGTCATACACAGTGCCCGTTTCTTCTCCTCCCCAGCCTATGGTGACCACCATCCACTCTCTTTATGGTTTCTGACTCAATACGCCACATAGTGGAACTGTACAGCATTTGCCATTTAGTTACTAGTTTATTTTACTTAACACAGTTCATCCATGCAGTAGCAGTCAGCATCTCCATTTCTGTGTGTGTGTGTGTGTGTGTGTGTGTGTGTGTGTGTGTGTGTGTGCTGCATGTGGAACCTACGGCTTGTGTATATTGAATGTGTGTTATGCCACTAAGCTCCCAACTTCCTCCTTTTGCCTGTGGACACACAGTTTTCCTCACACCACTTGTTTAGAATACAGTCTTTTCCAATTGAAGTCTTGGTGTCTTTGCTAAAACTGATTTGATTTTTGCCGAAGTTATGGAATAGTTGGGGTAGATGATCCTCAAGCCCCACTCCTCACCCTGGAGCTGTTGACAGATGGTAGCTTTGGGGGCAAGGGAGGTGGGGAGGGAGTAGCATTCTTTTTTGAGGATGTGGCCACTGGTAGGATTCCCATTCTCCAGCAGATGGCCCACACCCATGCTCATAAGGGCAACACTAACTGGACTTAGTGGGTTATAAAACAAACATGTAAACAAACAAGACTTGAAGTTTGGAGGGAGAATGCTGGGGGATATGGAGGGAGGTGGAGGGGAGAAATGGGGGTTGATATACTTCATCGTATATATCTGGGATTCTCAAGAATAAAGGAAAATACAGTAATGATCTTATGTGAAATATTTCTGGGTTCATTTCTGGTTTAACAACAATTTTTTTTGTTTTGTTTTGTTTGTTTTTTTGAGACAGGGTTTCTCTGTGTAGCTTTGCACCTTTCCTGGATCTCGCTCTGTAGACCAGGCTGGCCTCGAACTCACAGAGATCCGCCTGGCTCTGCCTCCCGAGTGCTGGGATTAAAGGCGTGCGCCACCACCGCCCCCGGCTGAGCTTTATGTATTCTTTTGATCAGGTTTCACTATGTAGCTAATCTTGGTTGTCAACTTGACTACATCTGGAATCAACTAAAACCCAAGATTCTGGACACTCCAATGAGGGATTTTCTTAATCAGATTATCTCAAGTAAGAAGACCTACCCGAAATCTGGGCCACACTTTCTGTTGGCATCTGAAAGGACTGAAGGAGGGGTACTGTTAGTGCCTGCTTGTCCTCACTCCGACTGGCAGGCTTCTCTATCCTGTCACTGTGGCTGATATTAAATACAACTTTTTCAAGATTCCAATGTGGACTGAAGACCAGCACCTCTCCAGAATCCTCCAGGACTCCAGCACCAGATTGGGACTACAGAGCCAGCCAGCCACATGAACTGGACAGTTACTGGATTTCCATTGTGAGATATTCACTGTTGGATTGCCTGGACCACATCCTGTGAGTTTAATGTTTAATATATCCCCCCCCCCCCTTTTTTTTTTTTTTGAGACAGGATTTCTCAGTGTAGCTCTGGCTATCCTAGAACTCACTTTGTAGACCAGGCTGGCCTCAAATTCTGAGGTCCACCTGCCTTTGCCTTCCAAGTGCTGGGATTAAAGGTGTGCACCACCAGCACCACCCAGCTAATTAATGCTCCGTTAGTGTATGCTTATACTTTCTATCTGTTGTGTTCAGTAGCCTACTCAGAGTGGCCGGGCTGATCTGCTGAGGTGAGTTTCTGTATTACACTTTAAGATCATACGATCACCACCCCCACCCCCCCACCGCTGGGGGGATGGACAAAAAGCTTAGTTCATGAATCATACACAAATAAATCAAGGCTGTATTTATGTACATAAATATCACTTACAGAACCCCTACTGTATGCTGTACAGTGTGCTGATTTCTCATGCTTATCTTAATTTTTTTTCTGTTAGGAACCAATGAGTACTTTAGTTTTTGTGGCTTGTAAGGTTTCTGTCGGGACTGGTCAGCTCCGCAGCCATCAGTAATGCAGGTGTGTCTCAATAGCACTTGATTTGTGGGTTCTGAACCCTGAATTTCACATAATTTTCACATGTCATAAAATGTTATCCTTTGGATTCTATTCCCCCAACCATTAAAGATGTGAAAAACCACGTGCACCTTGTGAGCTGGACAGAAATCAATGCTGGGCTAGATCCAGCTCCTACACCGTGGTCTGCTGACCACCATGTCATCTTATTCAATGTTGGTCATAAACTGCGTGACATAGTTATCATATGCATGCCACCAACAGGTCTGTGGAGGGTTAGCTTTTCTAGTAATCTGTGACAATCAGATAGTGCCCCACCCAAAGGTGAACTCCTTCCTCCCTCCCTCCCTCCCTCCCTCCCTCCCTCCCTCCCTTCCTTCCTTCCTTCCTTCCTTCCTTCCAGCTCTTGACTAATGATGGGTTCATAATATGTACTAGATCAGTATAGTTTCACAATTTTTTTGGTGTATTTTAAGTATCACATAAACCACAAAAGGTTTCCACAATTTTAAGCACCTTGTTTTAAAATCATTTGCTGATGTATAACAAATCATTTACTTTAGCTTTCTCCATAAACTTGTTTTGTCTGGCTTAATGTTGAATTCTGCTGATTTCTCTTGAACACACTTTGTGGAGGAAGGAGACGGTTCTGAGTTACAGTGTGGGTGGAAATTTTGCCACTTGACATGCAGTTGAGAGGTAGCTGCATGCAGATAAATATGAATGTGTGAGCATGTGCATCCATACACACGCTCTCCAGGGCAAGAACCTCCCTCCCGAAGTCTGCAAGGCCCAGAAGCAATACAAAGGGGTTTTCTCTTTCACATCCTCAGTGTGGCACACGGCTGATAACTCTGTGAATTTAAATAAAACAACGAGACTCATAAAAATTCATACACATTTCCAGCAGATTACATTTTACGCTATAATAAAATTCCTTCATAATAGGAATTTTTTGTTTAAATGGGTCTAGGTAGAATATAACCTGAATAATGTTCCTTGAAGCAGTGTCTGCCTTCGGTGAGGCTTTGATCCATCATAGATAGTAGTTTTAGTTTCTCACGTTCTCTTGTGTTTAAAAATTGGAAACTTCTTATTTAAATAATGGGTAATTAAAACCTTTCAGAATACATCAATTTGCATATGACCAAGGCATTAACACCCAAAGGGCTGCACCCAGGACTCAGACATTCATGAACAACAGACAGATGCACATTTGGATGTTTACCAAAACCTAACCTACCAGCTCTAACTGCAAGTCACAGTTTCAACGAGAAATTACGTTTTCTATGAGAAAATGGTGTTCCAAAGTCAGAATGTCACCTTGCTGTCAAATAATCCCACAGATTACTGTAAACAGAGCTGGAGAGATTGTGCATGACTGGGAAGATGTGAGGTAAATCCCGTTCGTTACCTAAGACATGACCTCCATTGCATTATCAACTGTCACAGTGACATCCTCCTGCCACAGCCACTCACTTCTACCCCTGTCCCCAGTACACACACACACACACACACACACACACACACACACACACAGACACACACACAGACACACACACACACAGACACACACACACACAGACACACACACAGACACACACACACACACACACACACACACACAGACACACACACACACATAAGACACACAGATACACACACAGACACACACACACACACACATAAGACACACAGACACACACAGACACACACACAGACACACATAAGACACACACACACAGACACACACACAGACATACACACAGACACACACAAGACACACAGATACACACACACACACACAGACACACACACACAGACACACACACACACATAAGACACAGATACACACACAGACACACATAAGACACACACAAGACACAGATACACACACAGACACACAGACACACACATAAACACACACACAGACACACACACACACACACACACAGACACAGAGACACACACATAGACACAGAGACACACAGACAGACAGACACAGACACACAGACACACAGACACACACACAGACACACACACACACAGATACACACACAGACACACACACACACACACAGACACACACAAGACACACAGATACACACACACACACACAGACACAGAGACACACACATAGACACAGAGACACACAGACAGACAGACACAGACACACAGACACACAGACACACACACAGACACACACACACAGATACACACACAGACACACACACAGACACACACAAGACACACAGATACACACACAGACACAGAGACACACACATAGACACAGAGACACACAGACAGACAGACACAGACACACAGACACACACACACACACACACACACAGACACACACACACACAGATACACACACAGACACACACACAGACACACAGAGTTACATTTGCCCAGCACATTACCATTTATACAGTTAGCCTCTGAGCAAAGATGGGTCATTCCTTCAGTAAGATATTCTCCATAATAACATAACAACTTGCATCAAAGATTAATATTTTTCCTCTTTTCATTTATGACTAAATTAAAAATTAGTCTACCACCTGGGTTTCATTTTACTCTCATTTTTCTGGTTCTGTGCTGGGAATTTGACTGGTTAGGAGAGAACTTCAGAGCCTTCTTGTTAAGAAAGAGCTATGTCTCTTTTCTGGCTAACATTTACTTTAAAAACCAGGAAGACTTTTTGGCCTTGTGTCTGGTCTAAAAATGAAACCCATTAGCAATGTAAAAAAATGAACCAAAGGATTACACGGTCTGAAAGTCCGTGGGAGTTTTTGGAAATGGAGATTAAATTTGACTAGACAAAAGTTCTAGCAACTTGCTTGATATAATGAGAAAGTTGAGAGCGGGTTCCTTCTGGTGTCAACGGGAGCGTTAAGATCTCAGGCCTGGGACTCGTTTCAGCCCTTCAACATGGTGTCTCATTCCACTTGGTGAGGCTTCGGGACCTGCCGCCTTCCACATAAGGAGTTCATTTCCCTGTAACTTGTCATTGGAACATTCTAAGCTGAAGATAGACTTCTTACAGCAAGACAGTTTTTTTTTTTGTTTTGTTTTTTTTTTTTTTGTTTTTTCGAGACAGGGTTTCTCTGTGTAGCTTTGCGCCTCTCCTGGAACTCACTTGGTAGCCCAGGCTGGCCTCGAACTCACAGAGATCCGCCTGGCTCTGCCTCCCGAGTGCTGGGATTAAAGGCGTGCGCCACCACCGCCCGGCCAGCAAGACAGTTTTAAGAGGAAAGGGAACTTCACGTCTAAGAAGCAGCTCTTCTTCTGGAGCGTAATAAAAGTCTCTGTGAGGCAGCCAGCAGAGCTAATGTTTTGAGAATCTGTTACCCTTTCGTGACTATGTCCATTACTGTGGTTTTGTTTTGTTTTTTGTTTTTTTTTTTGTCTTTTTTAAAGCAATTCTGGGACATTGGTTAGAAATTTTATGGTAATTAGTAAACACTCTACCAGGTTTTCACCATGGACAGTTGACTAAAACCCCTAACACTATCAGAGCAATGAAAATTTCAGATCCAGCTCGTCTTTTATTTACTTATTTTGGTTTTCTGAGTTATAGTCTCACCATGTATCCCTGGTCAGCCTGGAACTCTCTTTATAGACCAGGCTGCCCTCAAACTCAGAGATCCGCCTGCCTCTGTCTACCAGGTTCTGCGATGGAAGGCGTGTGCCCCCATACTCACTTTTACCTACATTTTTAAATATAGGTACCAGATACTTGTCACCTTTTGCTTCTCACCAGAGAACTCATCAGTCAGTGACCTACTGACCTCTAACCCGAGCCCTGTGCCCGGGAAGTGTTTGTCAGAGTGACTTAAGGACCCAGGCAGGGTTGGTGAGAAGGCTCAGCAGCTGAAGGCCCTTGCCTCCAGGCCTGCTCTTCCGAGGTCAATCCCCAGGACCCACGTGGTAGAAGGAGAGAACTGACCCTTGCAAGTTGTTCTCAGCTCTCCACAAGTGTGACACGGCACGTGTGCACACGGAGACACACACACACACACACACACACACACACACACACACACACACACAGACCCGAAGTAGCTGGCACTACTGTCTCCGTAGTATGCCGGAAGTGGTAAGTGACGTTCTTCAGGTCCTGCCTCTGCCAAGCGAGGTCACCTCAGTTCCTGCCTTTCTCAGCCTGTTGACCCCACAGTTGGTTCCACTCTGTGAGTTATCACTGCTTGTTGCCTTCCTTTCCTGTCAAGTTAGGTAGGCGGCCTCCTCCTCCTCCTTTCCCTCCTCCTCCCCTTCCTCCTCCTCCTCTTCTTCCTCCTCCTCTTTCCTCCCCCCCCCTCCTCCTCTTCTTTGCAATGAAATCATCTTAACTGGTGAAATAACTCGCTCTTATACTGGAGGGGACTATGGACCTTATTACCTAGATCGACTATAATATGACAGAATCAGTTACCATGTGGGAAACATGCTTTTAAAGATACTGAATATTTAACACAGAAATGCCGGTGTTTGGAAGCGTGTTCCGATCCTGAGAGATTAAAGGTATTTAGGCAAATCAGATCACGAAACAGCAAGGATGCCGCCCTGCTCACATTATATTACGTGCCGTAAATGATGCTTCGCAGGCTGCCTCTGGATTGCCTGTCAGTACTTTCGGAATGACTGATGAGTTAAGAAGGGCTTATTTATCAAAGAATGAGACAATCTATTGAGCCTGTGTATCAAAACGGCCTGTCCCAGGCTACTTTGAGACCCAGAGGGCACCTCCATTCTGTAGAAACCTTAACACACTTTGAAGGATAATGGAACAATGGTAGACTACCTGCTAATCTATGACCAGATGTCTGTGATGGTTAGTTTCAGTTACTGACTTGGAACAATGTAGAGTTACCTGGGAAGGGAGGCTCAAGAGTGAACTGTTTAGATTAGGTCAAGGTGGGAAGGCCCACTCTATGGAACCATTCCATGGTCTGGGTCCACAGCTGAATGAAAAAGAAAGTGATCTGAGCATGGGTACACAGGCATTCCTTAATGGCTTTCTGCTCCTGACTGGGACCGGGCTGCTCATGCTCCTGCAGCTGCGACTTTCTGCCTTGGTGGACTGCAACCGGAGACTGGGGGCCACCTTAGTCCTTTCTCCCTTAAGTGGCTCTTGTCAGCCATCTCCTCACAGCAACAGAAGGAATGAGGACAGCACCCTCGCCGAACTGCTGAGTCCCATGACAGACCTCATCTTACAAAACGTGGTCATGATATGTCCCCAAACAAACAACTGGGCAGATCCTGCCAAACTCTAGAGATACGTTCAGAAGAGTGGATGGATGGAAGTAGATAACTGAGGGAACTTGAGTATAAATGTTCTGTTGGAAGGAGGCAAATGACAGTATTAATAAAACAAGACTAATTATCAACCATGTGTTGATACTGAGCTGAACATGGTTGTTTCGTCTACTGGGGATGTTTTAGCCCTATCTCTATGTTTCTTCACCAGGTCACCTCCACATGAACTAGACCAGATGCTCTTGGAGTGGGACCCATTGATCAGGGTGATTCTGGTCTGCAGGCAAGGAGTGGGACCCATTGATCAGGGTGATTCTGGTCTGCAGGCAAGGAGTGGGACCCATTGATCAGGGTGATTCTGGTCTGCAGGCAAGGAGTGGGACCCATTGATCAGGGTGATTCTGGTCTGTAGGCAAGGAGTGGGACCCATTGATCAGGGTGATTCTGGTCTGCAGGCAAGGAGTGGGACCCATTGATCAGGGTGATTCTGGTCTGCAGGCAAGGAGTGGGACCCATTGATGAGGGTGGTTCTGGTCTGCAGGCAAGGAGTGGGACCCATTGACCAGGGTGATTCTGGTCTGTAGGCAAGGAGTGGGACCCATTGACCAGGGTGATTCTGGTCTGTAGGCAAGGCTGAGAAGTCTACTCCATTACTTCACTGGGAGTAGTAAGGCTGGTGTTTGAGCACTCCTCCTGCTTAGCTGGAATTTTCCTCTAGCGAGCATCCTCCCAGCCATTACCTGAGTGCAGCTGGTAGGTGAAGACGGAATAAATGCTTGATTGCTTGTCCTTAACAGTGTTTAGAATGATGAGTTCTGGGGATAAGTTGGAGAGGATGGAAGACAAGGGGCTTACCCCCTCCTGGAACCTCTGGATATAGTACCTGGAAACTCTCTGGACTTTATGATAGGCAATAAGAGGACGTTCTTTGAGGCATAGTGACACACTGTGTTGTCTGTGTGTAAAAAGGTGAGGTGGCGTATGCTCTTCTTATTCTGAGGATTCTCTGTGTCATTTCCATTTTGCTTGGGGGCCTGCCAACTCTCTCCTTCCAGTGATTTCTGAAGTTTCCATGGCGGTGGCTCCAGAGATACCTGTCAGATGTTTGCTGTGCACCCGGACCTATGCTTAGGGACAGTTCTCATCCTGCTTCCACTGACAAGGTGTGTCATCATCACTTCTGTGGTGGCCGCCTTCCTGAAAATGCTGGCACTTCAGACCCCACTGCCACGTGCGGTGCTTCCGAACCCAGTGGTACCCAGTGGTCCTGCGATGCCAGTGTCGTGCTGGCTGCTGGGCAGATTCCGAGGCATTTCTGCTTTCCTTGTCTTGGTTGCTACCATTTGTCTCTGGGTTCTGGAGGGGCATCCCCTTAGGATGAGGTTATCACTAGTCTTTAGGAAAAAGCTCATTTTTCTTTTGAGTTTATGTTTGTTTTTCCTCTCTGGGGTAAGCGTTGTTCTTGCCTTCTCCTCCTCCTCCTCCTCTATGTAGCCATGCACCAGATCTTATCCTTTAGCAAACTAAGCTGAAACAGACCAGGAGCACAGCTAACCAAGTCACCCTTCCAACCAATCCGTGAAGAGAAGTTTCTAGAAGAATCACTGGCTTCAGTGTTCCACAAGCAGCAAGGGTAGTATTGCTTCTTGAACTTTACCTGGCAGACTTACTCTCATTGAGCATCTTGTATATTCTGCAGCATGGGTGTCTGTCCGTGGGTGGATGGATTTCGACAATGTAGTACACACACAACGGAGTTTTCTTCAACCGTAAAGAGTAAAATCATGTCGATGGCAGGAAAGTGGAAAGAACCAGAGATTGCTGTGTTAAATGAAATAAGCCGGACTTAGAGGAACAAGTACCACATGTTTTCTCTCATGTAGGGATTCCAGATGAAAACAAAGAAGCCATGAAGTAGGAGAAGGATTTAGGAAAGATAAAAGGGATCAAGAGGAGTTGGGGAGGTAAGAGAGGATGATGGGTGGTGAATATGACCAGAATACATTACATGCATGTATTAAAATATGATAGCCGGCGGTGGTGGCGCACGCCTTTAATCCTAGCACTCGAGAGGCAGAAGCAGGCAGATCTCTGTGAGTTCGAGGCCCACCTGGGCTACAGAATGAGTTCCAGGAAAGGCGCAAAGCTACACAGAGAAACCCTGTCTTGAAAAACCAATATATATATATATATATATATATATATAAAATGATGAAATATTTTATATAATTAGCATATGTTAATGAATGTTTATTTTACATGTATGGGTGTTTTGCCTGCTTATATAAAACACACACATGCCGGGCGGTGGTGGTGCACGCCTTTAATCCCAGCACTCGGGAGGCAGAGCCAGGCGGATCTCTGTGAGTTCGAGGCCAGCCTGGTCTCCAAAGCGAGTTCCAGGAAAGGCGCAAAGCTACACAGAGAAACCCTGTCTCAAAAAACCAAAAAAAAAAAAAAAAAAAAAAAACAAAAAAAACACACACATACCTGGTGCCTGTGGAGGTCAGAAGAGACCTTCAGGTCCTCTGAAATCAGAGTTACAGATGGTTGTGAGATGCTATGGGAGGGCTGTGAATTTAACCCAGGTCCTCTGGAAGAGCAGTCAGTGCTCTTAACCACTGAGCCATCTCTCTAGCTCTGTATGTTAATAAAAAAAAAGAGATGGAGAGCCGGGCGGTGGTGGTGCACGCCTTTAATCCCAGCACTTGGGAGGCAGAGGCAGGCGGATCTCTGTGAGTTCGAGCCCAGCCTGGTCTACAGAGTGAGTTCCAGGAAAGGCGCAAAGCTACACAGAGAAACCCTGTCTCCAAAAATAAAACAAAAACAAAAACAAAAACAAAAACAAAAAAGAGGTGGAGCCTGGTGGACAGAAGTTAGGTCACTGGGGACATGCCTTTGCTGCAAATATTGGGACTTGGCCTTCAAGTCTTCCAGTTTTGCATTCCAGCTGCTGTGATACAAAAAGCTTCCTCACCCTAGTTCCCACCATGATGCCCTTCGATGGTAGAGGCCCAAAGCCACAGGGCCAGATGACCATGGACGGAGACTTCTGGATCTGTGAACCAAAACAAATCTTTCTTCTTTCTAAAACCAAACCAAACAAAAAACCAAACCAAACCAACCAACCAAAATCCCCAAACATGCCAAGCCTGATTCCACAGGTCTGGGATGGAGTTGAGGCCTAGCGTTTCTTTTCTAAGACAATTTCAATAGATTTTTAATAGATTTTCTCATGCAGTGTAGTCTGATCATGTTTTCCCCTCCCCCAACTCCTTCCAGACCCTCCCCGGCTCCCTACCCACCCAAGTCCACACCCTCTCTCATTGGAAAATGCGCAACTAAAAAACAAACAAAAAACCCAAAATAGGACAAAACAAATAGAAAAAAAAAAAGCTGAGGAAAAGCACAAGAATGTGTAGAGAGACACACATTCTCACTCACGGAAATCCCATAAAAACACAAAGCCAGAAACCATAATGCATACAGAGGACCTGTAAGGTTACACACACACACACACACACACACACACCAGCAACAACAACAACAACATCGACAAGAGACCCTGACGAAGCATTATGAAACAAGAATCTCCAATAATGCCATTGAGTTCATTTTGTGTTGGCCATCGCTGCTGGGCATGGGGTTTGCCCTGAAGAGTGGTTTGTATACCCAGGGAGACTCTGTGGGAGAAAAAAAAAATTTGTGAGCTGTTACAATTTGAGATAGTTTCTGGGTTAGGGATGCGGGATTGTGTCAGCTTCCCTTCTCAGCTCAGGCACCCCATCTGGCCCAGACCCATGCAGGTCCTATGCATGCTCCACAGTCTCTGTGAGTTCATATGTTTGTGGGTGCTGTTGTGTTTAGAAGACCTTGTTTCCTTGGTGTCCTCCATCCCCTCTGGCTCTTACAATCTTTCTGCCTCCTCTTGGGAGGGATTTCATGGAGACATTCCTTTTTTTTTTTGACTTGAGTGTTCCAAGGTCTTTAACTCTCTGCACATTGCCTGGCTGTGGGTTGTAGATGTAACCAACAAATAAAATATCACCATAGTGGGTCTCTGCGTTTGTTCCCATCTTCTGCAGGAGGAAGCTTCTCTGATGATGGCTGAGCAAGGCACTGATCTGTGGGTATAACAGCATGTTGCTGAGAGCCACTTATTGCTCCTTTCTTTTGTGGAACAGTAGTATTTGGTTTTCCCCTAGGCTCATGGCCTATCTAGTCTCAGGTTCTTTCTTGGCCACCTGAGTAGTGACAGGTATGGGTCCCAGCTCATGAAGCGGGCCTTCAATCCCGTCGGAGAGTGGTTGGTTACTTCCACAAATTTTGTGCCGTGCAGGCCGGTCACCGCTGTAGGTTGAAGGTTTTGTAGCTGGATTTGTGTTTACCTTTCTCTGGTCGTGTGCAGAGTACCTTCCCATATCATGAACACTACTAGTTAGTCTGGATGAAGGCTCTATGGAGACACCAGCTTGACTTCCCCACGTTCAATGAGTTGTGTAGGTGTTGTCTTCAGAAATAGGGCCTTACCATCAGTTTATGGAGAGCAACCAAGCCCGGGTTGGAGGTCCAGTGTCTCGAACAAGCTCCTGGGCAGTGCAGTTGCTTCTGGTATAAGGACTGTGTGGTGGTTTGGATGAAAATGGCCCCCGTAGGCTCATAGGGAATGGCACTATTTGAAATGATTAGGGTACATGGAGTTGGAGTAGGTGTGGCCTTGCTGGAGGAAGTGTGTCACTGGGGGCGGGCTTTGAGGTTTCAAATGCTCAAGCCAGGCACAGTGTCTCACTCTGCTGATCCAGATGTAGAACTCTCAGCTACCTCTCCAGCACTATGTCTACCTGCATGCCACCATGCTTCCTGCCTTGATGACAATGGACTGAACCTCTGAAACTGTAAGCAAGCCCCAGTTAAATGTTTCATTTGTAAGAGTTGTTGCCGGGCAGCGGTGGCACACACCTTTAGTCCCAGCACTGGGGAGGCAGAGCCAGGTGGATCTCTGTGGGTTCGAGGGCAGCCTGGGCTACAGAGGGAGATCCAGGACAGGCACCAAAACTACACAGAGAAACCCTGTCTCGAAAAACAAAACAAACCAAAGCAAAAAAAAAAAAAAAAAAAAAACCAAAACAAAGAGTTGTTGTGGGGCTGGAGAGATGGCTCAGCATTAAGAGCACTGACTGCTCTTCTAGAGGACCTGGGTTCAATTCCCAGCACCCACATGGCAGCTCACAACTGTCTGTAACTCTAGTTCCAGGAGACCTAAAACCCATGGCAAAACACTAATGCACATAAAATAAAATAAGTAAAGAGTTGCTGTGGTCATGATGTCTCTTCACAGCAATAGAATGCTGACTAAGACAGACTGCATTCTGAGTAAAGAGAGCTAGGTTGGCTTTGGCTCAGTTGGAACACTCTAGTAAGAAATTAACTTACATCAAACATATCACAAACTGTTTACAGCCTAG